CTGGGCGACAGAGTGAGACTCCAACTCAAAAAAAAAAAAAGATTAGCTGGGTGTGGTGGCATGCATCTGTAGTCCCACTACTGGGGAGTTGCAGGGGGAGGATCACCTAAGCACACAGTGAGCCGTGATCTTGCTGCCATTGCACTCCAGCCTGGGCAACAAATGATACCCTGACTCAGAAACAACAAAAACAAAGCCTAAATATACCCTAAGTGTATCCACTTTTACCCTCTGGAGAAGTCTGAGTCATAAAAATTTGAAAGAATTATGTTGAACAGGTGATTGTTTCTAGAATCAGAAGCCAGAACGCCGTGACCAGCCCTCGGATTTTGGGATGGCTGCAGTCACAGGCTGCAGTGTTTTCCTTCCTCCTTCTGGAGTTGTTTACAGGTTACCTCCCATGGACCCCAGGCCGGACCTCTGTACCCATTGAGCTCTACGACGCTAAAAAAAAAAAAAAAAATAAAGAAAAAATCGAGCCCCATCCTGGGACCCATGTCTGCATGAGCTCACAGGGGGCTGGAGGGATGTGGTGACTGACCTAATTTGGGGCCAGACACAGGGGCTTCTTATCGGCCCCCTGAGGGCCCTCTGGGAGCCCGAGTCCAGGAGGGCAAAGGTGGTGATGGTGAAGCGCTGGTAGTGCGATGGGAAGGGCAGTGCCGCCCCGTCCAGGGCCACCCTTCGGGTTCTGTAGCTGTCGCCCTCAAAAGGACACCTGGGGAGAGGGGGAGAGAGGTCAGGGAGGCCCGGGGTTGGGGGAGAAGGTGGGGAGGGGAAACTGGGTGGGTAGGGAGTGCCCGGGGCACTCACCCTTTCAACAGGACAGGCCACTGGGACTGCTGGAAGGGGTTGGCACTGGGAGTGCCCCAGCATTGGTGCAGCACCAGGACCAGGCCAGGGTCTGTCCTCCGCAGAAGCCGGACCTCCATGTGGACCGGTTCTTGGAGCAGCCTCAGGATGGGATAGTCCCCCTGTCCGTAGCAGGACCTGAAAGTCTCGTCTGCAGGGAGAGGGGCTGGTGAGCCCAGGGTGGGCCACACACGGGGTAGGCAGGACAGGGTGGGGGCGGGCATACCCTTGGTGATCCACAGCTCCGGCCACAGGGGGCCGGGCTGGGTCACAGGGCCGGGCATTGGGGGTGGGCAGACAGATGCCTGCAAGGGCAGGAAGTCACTGGCGTTGAAGACGCAACAGATCTAGAGCCTGAAGTTCACATGCAAGACAGTGGGGAGGAGAGAGTCAGAGCATCCTGCTTTCGTCATAATAAACGGGGCGCAACTATGTGGGTTCCACAGATGGCACCATCCAGCAGGGCAGATGGATGTCATTTAAGCAATCACCAGGGGCTGGGGAAGCTCGCCCCGTCCCTGCCTCCAGCCCACCTAGTCTTGCCGGCGTGGCTTGAGCATGAGATGCCGGGACCAAGATGTCAGGGGCTTCCTAGGGCATGGCCCTTTGGTGGGATTCGAGGCCCTCAGAGCTGACAGTCGAGCCTGGTGGACAGGCCCATGAGCTCTACCGCCTGGCAGACCTGGGCTTGGGTCTTCTAACATTTCCAGGCTGTTGGGGCCACAGCCAAGTCGTCAACCTGTGTCATACGTGAAACGGTCATGACCATCTCCCTCCAGGGGCACTGGTGAGAACTACGTGAGGTCACGAGATAACATGCCAGTGGCTTCCCTGTGCTTACAGTCATGGTTGGCCTACATGGCGTCTAGCATTTTCCTCACTAGCCTAGATGCCAGGGGGCCTGGTACAAACTCAGTGCTAAGTAGGTATAAGTGTCTGCCCTATTCCCTTCTGAAGGTCACCAGTCTGAAGAGCCCTCCTGCCCAGTCCTGAGGGTCCGAGGCTGTCTCCCCCTTGCTTCTACCGCCTTCTGGGAATCCCGGCCACTCCGTGTTGGGCTTGGGCTTGCTCCCACAGGTCTCGAGTCCAAGGGTCTAGAGCCTGATGTAAGCCTGTTCCCACCTCCTGGCCCTTCGTACTTAGGGTTTTCCAGCAAAAGACATGGGAACCCCAACCCCAGTCTCCGGTCCCGCTCCCCAACTTTCACAGCAGGTGGGGTGGAGAAAAGGAGACATCTGGGTACCCATGCTGCGCCAAGCACAGAATTTTTACAGCCCGTGGTGACACGTTAGCTGCGTCCCACAGGGTAAACATGCTGAGGTTGGGCACCTTGACCCTGGCCACACAGCAAAAGTGGAGGTTCAAAGCCAGGTGTGCAAGGACAGATTTCCTCGGGTCATTCCACCGACATCCTGAGCACCTGGGGTGATTTTGCCACCTGAGTCAGCAGGTCTGGAAGGCCCCTTTCACTGAGGGGCTCTTCCCCCAGCTCCCCCCCCATCCTCAGAGCTTTGGCCCCATCCCTGGCTTCATCACCTGAGATCAGGCGGAGACAATAACCTCAGCCTCTTGGGAGGGGACGCTTTCCGCTGCTCTGGACTTAGTTTTTAGAGGGAGAAAGGCGACCTCCCGAGGACCTCAGCTCTCCCAAGACCTGCTGTTGGCTTCTACCTGACCCTGCGGCCAGGTATGAATGGACCTCACCAATGCTCACCCCTGCCTGAGAGAGGGGTGGTTGCCTGACTAGCAGGGGAGGCTCGTCCAAGGTCATATAACCAGGTAATGGCAGAGCCTGGATTTGAACCAAAGCCTTTTGTGAGCTCTCCTGCCCCCATCCCACCCCAGCCCCCCCAATCCAGGAGGGCGCCCCTCACTGGAAGGTGCCGTCCCGTGTGATGGAGCCCCGTGGCCCCTTTCGGATGTGGATGTCAGACACCAGCCGGTTCTCATTAAATGAGCTGGTTCTGGGCCACCTGTTGGGGAAGACAGCAGGTGAGGCTCTGGGGGTGGGTCACCAGGCCCCAGCCCACAGTCCCCTCCTTGCTCTCACCTGTGCTGTGGTGCCACAGTGGGTGGGAGGGAAGTGGAAGACCACAGATGCATCCGTTTGCCGTGTTGGGAGGCAGCTGGCGGGGGTGTAGGCCAGGTGGACGCTGGCCAGCGTGATCCGGTGTGTCAAGGCCATTTCTTGGGACACCACCAGGATGAAGGAGCCGTTTCTCAAGCACTGGATGGTAGCTGGGATAAAGGCAAGTGGGAGAGACAGAGGTGGCCTTGGGGTTTAGTGTCCAGCTAGCACAGAGGTAGGGAAGGGGTGAGCGACAGTTGGGCTTTAAGTGGTGGTCTGGGGGTCTGGGATCTCCCTTGTTCTCCAGCGAGGCTTTCATGGGACAAAAGGGGTGAACTGCTCTCTTAACGTAGGATCATCATGTCACCCAAACCAAGATGTCATTACATAATTTGTCACCCAAAACATGGTGTTTTATTTATTTTTGAGTCAGCGTCTCACTCTGTCGCCCAGGCTGGAGTGCAATGGCACAATCCCTGCTCACTGCAGCCTTCAACTCCTGGGCTCAAGTGATCCTCCCACCTCAGCCTCCTAAGTAGCTGGGACATACCTGGCTAATTTTTTTTTTTTATTTTTAGAGACAAGGTCTTGCTATGTTGCCCAGGCTGGTCTTGAACTCCTGGACTCAAGCAATCCACCCACCTTGGCTCCCCAAAGTGCTGGGATTACAGGCGTGAGCCACTGATATGTGTAAAAGATGGTCTGTGAATAGTTCTCTGGGACAGTTGTAATACAAGGCAAGGTGGGACATGTGGTCACTCCATCTAAAGGTCTCTCCTGCACTCCCTTCTGGGAGTCAGGCTCTCCCAGAAATAGGATGAGAAGCAGAGTTCCTGCCAGTGGGAGGGGACAGAGCGCTTGCCACTTCAGCATGGGACCAGGAGCATGGAGTGGGAGGTGCACCTGTGTTGCCATAATAGCAGGGAACCTCTCTGATGTTGTCATAGCAGCAGTCAGCCTGCTGACAGGACTCCTTTGGGCCACTCATGATGCAGGGGATGGGCCCGGAGGCCACCCGGCACTGTTCCTGGGTCAGATGGGTACCTGGGGCGGGACAAAGTGGCAAGGGAAATGGCTTCTTAGAGCCCCAGGAAAAGGCTGGTGGCCCACCCTACATCCCAGAAGGCCCCAGATACAGACCGAGGGTAGGTACACACAGAGAAGTCCTACATGCCTAAAGAACCTGGTTCGTCCACTTCCCAGGGTCCCAAGGTGCCCCCGAGGAGTTGAGCCAGGGTGGGGTGGGCAGGCCCAAGTCTGGAGGAGGAAGAGGAAGCGCTTGGGTGGATAGAGCTGTGCTCTTTGTCCAGAGGGCTGAGCAGGGCGTGGCTGGGCCCCGGGGGCGTGGCCGGAGGAGGGGGAGAAAGAGCTATTAGGGGCAGAGAGTGAGAACTCGGTGGGTGGTGCCGGGTAGGAGTCCGGGACCCAGGTGGGGTCAGGTTTGGGATAGGTCAGAGCGGTGTCCTGTGCCACATCCACCTGATGGTCGGGCTGCATGCTCTCCACGAACATCCTCAGGTGGAAACGCCCACCCTGCAGGCAAGGGGCAATCGGAGAACAGTGGGTGAGGCCACCTTGCACCCGGGCAGAGGAGGGGCTGCTGAGAGCTGGGTTCAGGGCTGCCCCAAACACGCCTGCACCCAGCAGTAGTCTCCCTCACCTCCCGACTCCCTGCCGGACCTTGGGTTCTTCGCGGTCCACGATAGGCCTCTCTGGCCTGACACTACCTAGGGAAATCTTGCTCTTGGGCCCAGAGCCCTGAGCGACACCCACCTTCTGCTGCATGTGGCGGCCTTTGTAATCAGCCGAGAAGACTGCAGGCTCCCGGGGCTCGGAGGTGACCCAGTGGTAGCAGACAGAGCAGTTATTCACCTCAAATCGGTTCCCAAACTCATCTGGGGTGGGGGGGAGGGGAAGGGTCAGCGATGTCGGAGGGAGAAGCAGAGGCTGCTGGGGTCTCTGGTCTTGAACACCTGGCCTCAAGGGAGGTCTCTGAAAGGGGATGGGATATTTCTAGCTAGGGTTGCCTGTGGATGGCACAAGAGGGAGGGGGCAGGGCGACATGGTGGGGAAGGGGTGGGCGTAGGGTTTCAGGCGCAGGGCTGAGCATTTCACGTCGCTCTTTTTCCCCCCTAAATAGAGATGGAGTCTTGTTATGTTGCCCAGGCTGGTCTTGAACACCTGGCCTCAAGGGAGCCTCTGGTCTCAGCCTCCCAAAGGGCCGGGATTACAGGAGCGGGCCACCGCGCCTAGCTCACATCCTTCTTTCAAGCTTGGTTGTCCATCCGCGTCCTGTGGCCAAGGCATGAGTGAGCTTTCTCAGCTGCACAGTGAGGAGCAGGACGAGGATGGAGCCCGAGGTCTCGTAGAAAGTCCTGAACCATTTGCCAGGTGAACCGCCTGCTGCAGTTACTTGGAGACACCTGCCAGGTGTTGACCCCCTTGTTGGCCCAGAATGGGCTGGGCTCCCTCTGAGCGTGGGCACCCCCACCCCCACCCCCACCCCCTGATCAGGGCGCATGGCCAGGTTCCTCTTCCCCATCTTGCAGTTGAGGAAACAGGCTCTGAGAGGTCGGGTCAGTTGTCCAAGACCATATGGCTTCGAAGATCCCAATCCCAGTTCCAAACCCACACCCCCTTTCTCCACTCCAGATGATGGCCACCAGGGCCCTGCCACTCAGGGTGGCTTGTGAATGTGTGACATCCACTGTGCATGATTAGAAAGCAGAGGCCAGCCAGGCACGGCGGCTCATGCCTGTCATCCCAACGCTTTGGGAGGCAGAGGTGAGAGGATTGGCTGAGTCCGGGGGTTCGAGACCAGCCTGGGCAACTTGGCGAGACCTCGTCTCTACAATAAATAAAAAAATTAGCTGAGTATGGTGGTGTGTACCTGTGGTTCCAGCTACTTGGAAGGCTGAGGAGGGAGGCTCCCCTGAGCCCAGCAGGTCGAGGCTGCAGTGAGCTTGTACTGCACTCCAGCCTGGGCAACAGAGTGAGACTCCAACTAACAACAACAACAAAAAGATGACCAGGCCAGGCGCAGTGGCTCACACCTATAATCCCAGCACTTTGGGAGGCCGAGGTGAGAGGACTGCCTGAGTCCAGGGGTTGGAGACCAGCCTGGGCAACTTGGCAAGACCTCATCTCCACAATAAATTAAAAAAAATTAGCCAGGCATGGTGGCATGCACCTGAGGTTCCAGCTATTTGGAAGGCTGAGAGGAAGGATCATTTGAGCTCACAGCCACTGCTCACCAGCCTGGGTAACAGAGTGAGAATTCAACTCAAAAAGAAGGAAACGCAGAAGCTCGGCCCTGCCCCCACCCCGAATGAATCAGAACTTGCATCTCAGCAGGTGCCCAGGTGATTCCTGTGCACTTTGGCAGGAGAAGCTGCCCTGGGAACCAGGAACTTGAGGTTGGGAACTCCCCTTCCTGGCCACTGGTGATGGGGTGGGGGCCTGGCCACCCCCAGGCTTGAGGGAGGCCTCCGTTCCTCTTGCTCCAGGGGAAGGGTCCCAGCTCCCTCCAGGCTGAGGCCTGCAGCTAGGGAGGGGACTGGTGCCCACGCACTCACCCACCACCTTGAAGTGGACAGTCTGGCCTGGCCTGGGGAACACCAGCAGCTGCATGCCCTTGGTCCCACAGTCATAGCTGTGCTGGAGGCCAGGGGGCCAGCCTCGGGTTGGGACCGCCGGCCCAGCGCCAGGGCGGCCACCAGCAGCAGCAGCAGCAGGGCTGCACGGCGTGCCCAGGTCATGGCCGAGCCTTCTGCCAACAGATACACCACAGATACCCACGACGGCTCCTGCTCCCTAGCCAGCAGGGCAGGGCCCAGGTAGGCCTTATAGAGGGGAGGCGGCAGGTGGGTGCCTTTAGGGGCCAAGGGGGCCCACCTGGGGCAGCGCCCACCTGGGGGAGTGCCCCCGACCAGCAGGGGCCGTGGTGAAACTCCTGCCCCCAGCCAGGGGAAGATACCAGTCCAGCCTGGGGCCCTGAGAGACTGCTTGGAAAGCCATCCTTGCTCTCCAGAGTCTTTTGCCCCACACCTGGGGTTGATGCTTGCCCTGTGGGAGTGATTGTGGCTTTGGAGGGGAGGAGAGAGCTTTCTAGAAAAATCAAGGGATCAAGCCTGTAATTCCAGCCCTTTGGGAGGATGAGGTGAGACGATTGCCTGAGCCCAGGGATTCGAGACCAGCCTGGGCAACATGGGGAGACCTCATCTCTACAATAAATTAAAAAATGAGCCAGGCGTGGTGGTGCATGCCTGTGGTTCCAGCTCCTTGGAAGGCTGAGGCGGAAGGATCACCGGAGCCGAGCAGGTCGAGGCTGCGGTGGTCATGAGTGTGCCACTGCCCTCCAGCCTGGGCAACAGAGTGAGACTCCAACTCAAAAAAAAAGAAAATAAAAGGAAAAAGAAAAACCAAGGCTACAGGCGGGGCTGTGGAATGAGAGGTAGCCTTGGCCCCCTGTCTGCCATCCTCCCAAGCCTCTCCCTGTTCCCTCCCTGCCCAGATAGGCTCCCCACCTGCCTGAAGCTCTGCACCCCTAGGAGTTGCAGGCCCAGGTCAGTGTAGACACAGCTCCTTGGGTGGGGCTTTAGAGGCTGAAGAGCAAGGCCGGTTGATGTTAATTAGCTAAAAGCTAAGGACATGGATTTTAGGAACAATGTATTAATGCAAGATGTCAGTGACGGGGGTGACCGGGCCTGGGGCATATGGGAGCTCTCTGTACCGTCTTCTCAGTGTTTCTGTACATCTAGACCGACTCTAAGAAATAAAGGCTATTGGCCGGGCAGCATGGTGGCTCACACCTGTAATCCTAGCACTTTGGGAGACCAAGGTGGGAGCATCGTCTGAGCCTGGGAAGTCGAGGTGGTGACCATTGTACTCCAGCCTGGGTGACACAGCAAGACCCCAACTCCAAAAGAAAAGAGTCTATTAAAAACAGCGAGAATGGCCAGCTGTCTGCTGCGTGGGCAGCATCAGGCCTTGCTGGTGTCAGCCCCTTGTGTCCCCTCATTGCCTCTAGCCATCAGCCTGCTGCCCAGCAGGGTCAGGAAACATGGTCGTTATAATTTGTAGCAGCCGGGTGAGCGCGGGCGTTGGTGGTTGAGAGTTGGATTCCCCTCCAGCCCCTAGTGGCTTTCTGGCTGTGATGGGCACGCCAGCTCTTTCGATCTTGGGCTTCCCGTCTTGTAAACCAGGGACCGTGATGCTTCCCTCGCCGACAGGGTGGACGGGAAGGCAGAAAGAGCTGGTAATGGCAGATTGCATATACGTGGGGATGATATGATGCTTGGCCGTGACGGACTATCTCTGTGACTAGAATCAGCTGGGAAAGCTTAGGGGGTCGCTCTGGGAGCAGAGTGGGGGAGGCGCCCCGCCCAGAGGTAGGGGTGGGGGTCGAGGGTCCTGAGCAGAGACGGGAGGAAGGAGGGCACAGGGGTGATGCAGTGGGGACATTGTACAGAGCCAGAGGGGATTTGGGGACAGCAGGTGTGGGGAGGGAGGGGGCAGGATGCTGGAGAGGGACAGGCAGGGGTGAGGGGCAGCGGCCAGTGAGTGGACTTTTCTTGAGGAACAATGTGGACCTTTAAAACTGTTTATTTTGAAGTCATTTCAGAAAGGAGCTTCTGTGGAACCTTTTCCCAGATACCTCAGCTGTTAACTGTTAATTTTTTTTTTTTTGAGTCAGGAGTCTCCCTCTGTCGCCCAGGCTGGGGTGCAGTGGCACGCTTCTGGCCGCTGCAGCCTCAACCTGCTGGGCTCTGGCGATCCTTGTGCCTCAGCCTCCCAAGGACCTGGAACCACAGGCATGCACCACCACGCCCGGCTAATTTTTTGGCTTATTGTAGAGACAAGGTCTCACCAAGTTGCCGGGGCTGGTCTTGAACCCCAGAGCTCAGGTAATCCTCTCACCTTGCCCTCCCAAAGTGCTGGAATTCCAGGCATGAGCCACCGCCCCTGCCTTAACTGTTAACTTTTACATTTACTCCAGTCCTTTGTTTCTCTGTGTATGTGTATACACACACACACACACACACACACACACACACACACACACGTGCGCACACACACACACTCTCGATATCATTTGGGAACTAGTTGCAGACATGACTGATTATACTTCACCTCTAATTACTTCCGTGTAAACTTCCCAAGAAACGAACACCCACCACAGTAAAATGATCACAATCAGGAAAACAAGCTGGGCATGGTGGCTCATACTTGGAATTCCAGCACTTTGGGAGGCTGAGGTGGGAGGACTGCTTGGGCCCAGGAGTTTGAGACCAGCCTGGGCAACACAGCGAGACCTCATCTCTACAAAAAATCAAGGCGTTATCTGGGTGTGGTGGCACATGTCTATAGCCCCAGCTGCTCAGGAAACGGGTTGAGAGGACAGTAATAGACTTAGGTTAAGAGCATGCTATTGAGAGACCCAAGAAACCAAGAAACTTAAAAAGCCATACTTGCTAAAAGTAGTGTTTAGTTCACTATATTTCATATATCCCTACCTCATGTTTACTAAATATTTTGTGTATTCCTACCTCATGTTCATTGTACTTTATGAAATCTTAGTACTTTAAATCCTACCTCAGACCCCGTAGAATTAGGCAAATGTCGGGTGCCAGGTAGTGACTGATTGTGTAGTTATAATGGCTTAAGTAGTGTTTGTATTTAGAACTCTTGGGTTAAGCATTGTCAGTCCCAATTGCCATGCTGACTTCTGCTTTTACAATGGGATGTAAATGTTAAAGCGTTAAGCCCCTTTCAGACATTCCTTTGCTACTGCAGTAGACTCTGAGGTGCTAGCTGCTCTCTAGGTGGGCTTTATGTTGATTTAAATCACCAGCCTCCATGCCAGTGTTAATTTACACGCAGTGGCTATGTAAACCTGAAGGAATCAAAGACCTTTACAAAAACCGCCTTGCTATAAGACATTTGTGATATTTTATAAATTCCCAGAACTAGTACTATATTAATTTCTACCCCACATTCACTGTATGTGTTTGCAGCATTCATATTTAAAGCTTTGTTAAGTTTGGCTTTTGTTGTCCCATAATGACCATGTTATATTATGTAAATGTTAAACAAACAAGCTTCCCTAAGCATTCCTCGGGTGAATCAGCAAACTTAATGGCTAATGTAACCTCCAGGTTGCTCAGGTTACTTTATACGCAGTGAACCTAACTTATCTGACATTCCACTCTGCCTGTTAATGGGTTT